AAGTTGTCTCACAGCTCAATGATGCTTTGCTCTTTTTTTTTTCTGTATCCTTTTTTCTGTGTCTCATTTTGGGCACTTTTATTATGTTGTCTGTAAGTTCATTAATCTCTTTTACACTATCTGATCTTCCATTAATCCAATGAACAGTTGATCTTCTGTCTCCATGAGCTCAGCATCTACAGATTCAACCAACCATAGATTGAAATTTTTTAAGAAAATTGTGTCTGCACTGAATATGTGCAGAATTTTTCCTGCTATAATTACCTAAACAATACAGCTTAGCAATTACTTATATAGCATTTCATTATATTCAATATTATAAGTAATCTAGAGATTATTTAAAGAATATGATAGTATGTGCATAGGTTATATGCAGATATGGTGCTTTGTCATTTTATATAAAGGACTTGAGTATTACTGAATTTTGTCATTCATGGTCCTAAAACAAACCATCCTGGGGATACTGAGGGACAACTGTGCTTTTTATTTCACAAACAGCTTTCTCCTCATTATGGAGAAATTATTTGCATGCCTAAGTTTTAAGTAGATGCCACATATTGTGAAATTTATCTTATTGAAAGCTGGACATTTGGGTATTTCTAAAAACATTCTTGAGTCTTATTCTGGGATTCGGTTAAGTTCCTTGAAAAGTTTTTTTTTTTTGTTTTTGTCTTGCTTTTAAGATTTTTCAATAGGACTATAGACTCCTCAGTCTAAAGACTAATTATCTGTCAGTACTGAGGAAAGATCCTTCTGGGTACTCTACCCAATATCCCACCAATCATTAGGTTTTCCAATTGGGCTGCTGGCATCAGACCTTGTGTGAAAGGTGAGGGATATTAACGCCTAATTTTGAGGAATGGTTCATTCCTTGACCAGGAATATCTTCCTCATTGCTAAGCACTCAGCTGAATACTTGACAGGGACCCTCTTTCTGGAGTTCTCTCTCTGTGTAGCTGTCTCCTCTCCAATACTTTCCTCTGCAGGCTCCAGCTGCTTTGGTCTTCTCAACCCAGGGAAACTGACAGGCTTTACCTGCATTTACCTTCTTGGCGCTATGGCCTGGAAACTCTGACAGGTAATAATCTGGGGCAATTGCAGGGCTTCAGCTCTTTTGTCTCCTGGGGATTACTGACCTTTGTTTCCTACTACTTAGAAACTTGGAAATTATTGTTTGTAAGTTTTCTTATTTCATTATGGAGGATATATTCAATCCTTGTTGCTCTATATTAGCCAAGAAGAGAAGTACTGTATCTTCCTTTAAAATCACCTAATTGATGTAGTAAGGGCTTAAGCTGAGGAATGAAAGTAGAAAGAGAAGTAGTCATGGACTGGGAAAAATGTAGGGACCATTCATACAATATTCATCCAAAACTCATTTATTGAGCGTGTACTATCTCAAGGCACTGAGAAAAGATGGTAGTTTGGATTGAAGATGGCAATAATGAAGATAGTGAGAAACCATTAGATATAGGACATGTGTTCAAGGTAAAGTCCATATTCTTTGCATATGTAGAGAGGGTGGGGTGTGAAAAAAGAGGAGTCAGGATAACAGTAAGGTTTAGAATGAAATAACAGGGAGAATAGCATTACTTGATTGAGATGTAGGTGACTGTGGAGGGATGGTTGGAGGGGAAGATCAAGAGCTTGGTTTTGGACATACTGAGCCTGAGGAGCCTATTCATAATCCAAGTGGCTTTGCCAGGGAGGCAAACTAGAGTTCACAGGAGAGATTGAGCTGGTGTTCCAAGTTTGTAAGTCATCAGCATCTACTCGAGAGAAAAGATAAGTAAGTGATCTCGATCCTTGAAGAACTGTGTTCAGGACACTCTAAGCTTTAGTGTTAGAAAAGAGAAGGAAGCTTCTTCAGAGAATGCTAAGATGTGGTTGATAAGTAGGATACCTAACTGGGAAAGTAGAGCTCATTATTTCAAGAAGGAGGGAATGAATAAACTGTCAGATGCTGCAGAGAAACAGAATGGAAATGCAAACGACTCTCAGGATGGATTGTGTTTCTGTTTGTGTCTTTGAATCTTGGATTCACCCTGAAGTTAGACACCCTGCCAGACTTACATCTCTAAAGGCAGCACCCACCCAACACGTGGCATACAATTGGTGCCTTCAGCGTGGGCATGGAGCATTTGAGTGAACAGTGAACTGGAACTTTCAGTCTTGGCTGTCTGACTCACATGTCCCTTTTCTCTCTGGCCTTATCTCTACCCATAGTCTGAATGAGTTGTCCTTAAAATGCTTCCATGCAGGGTTTGAGCACTCCTCACTCCAGACTCACTTTTTTATAATATCCTGTGCTGTTACTCAGCTTGTGGATGAAGAAAAACGAGGCCTATGAGTACAACATGACTGAAGTTGGGCTTTTTATGACATGGGTGTTATCTTCCTCTGATTTTAAAAGCCACATTCCTTGAGGATCCCACTCTTCAACTAGAATTTACTGCCCATCTCTGTTCTCTGGGACAACTGCATGGCTTGTTACCTTTCTCAGCAAGCCTGCTTTTGCCCTTATGTTTATTTGGTTTTCCCCTGTCCATCCCTGGAACAGCTATTGCAAAATTTCTGGCCTCCTCTGAAGGCTTCTGCCTGGTACTTCTGAAAGTAGAAACCCCTCCTATTTCACTTACAAAGCTGGGCTTTTACAGAAGTGAATCCTTCAATGGCCTCTCACTGTATCCCTACTAGCATCTAAAATATTGAACACCTGCTTCCCTCTGGTCTTAGGATTTTTAATAAGACTTTTTGCACTTCCTCTGGTACTTGAACCAATCCATTTTACTCCCACCTCTCACAGGCTCCACCCTCAGTGGGGTTGATCAAAAGCACACACACTTTCATTTTCTGTCAAATCTGTCCTCAAAACATTTAAACTTGCTTTATTATCTCCTTGTTGTAAATTAGTAATAACAGCAACATAGAGAACTATTTTCAATCTCCCATCCTCCTCCAGATCCCACTCTATCTCTAGCCTTTCTCAGTTGAGTTTCTAGAAAGAATCAGTTACATGCTCTATCTCTTGTCCCTCACTCCCTACTCCATACTATGGGACCCTATGAAATCTGTCTTCTTTTACCACCACTCCTTGGAGCTGTTCTTGATAAGGTCACTGGTAAGTCTTAGTCATGCTCTCATCTCAGAGAGGAAGTATCAGGCCTCCCAAGCCGCTTTTATCTCCCTGTCATAGGGGTGGGGTGGACATTGGCCCTGTAGAAGTCTTTTTTTTCCTGAGACTCCTTTCCCTGGGAACTTTTTCCTTGTGTATCCCATATCTCTTGGACTGCCCTCCATTTCCTCCATGCAGTCAGCTCCTTGGGCTATCTGCTATTGTTGCAGCTCCTCAGAAAGCTTCTGTCAGCCCTCTTCTCTGGTTTCATGATATGGAGGAGTAGGCTTATCCCCTTGACAGCTTTAACTCCCTCATAAACCGTGAGGGTGTCCATGGACCCCATTTAGTCCAGGGAGTGCTGAGCCAAACAGAGTCTCCTTTATCAGACCCAGGCAGCCACCGTGAATGCCAGAGACCAGGTCAAGGCCTTGTAAATAGAAGGCAATAGTGAGAGAGATGCTTGACACTTTGCAGGGCACAAACAACTCAGGAAAGAGGTTGCTTGGATGTGATGCAGTAAGTAAAGAGCTGTTCTTGACCTGTAGATTTCTGACTTGAGAGACTGGGAAGAGGGTAGGCCCCTTTATAACGTGGCCTTATTGGAAGAGAAACTGACTTATAGGTGAAGGTGTCAAGTTCAGTTTTACCTATGTTGGATTTGAGGGTTTGAGTTGTCTCAAAGGAGATGTCCAGCAAGCAGCAGGAGATATGTGTTGGGAGCCTGGAAGGGACTCCTGGCCTGGAAACTGGATCAGGCACTTGAAGCCCTAGGACTACACAAGATTTATTGAGGAGCTGAAAATCAATGGGCTGTCAGTTAGGCAAGGCAGAAGACAGCCAGGCAGCCAGGGGAAGGGATGTCCTATTTCTGGCAGAGAGAGCACAAGATCAAGGAAGAGGAATTTGTTTTGGTGACAGCAGCATAGAAGATGATGTACCCCAGAGATGGCCTGGCCCTGTGTTCCAGCTCCTCTTGAACTGAAAGCTTGGACTTTAAAATCACCTTTTCCAGGAGGCCAGCCCTGAAACTGTTCAGTGTAAGTGGCCCTGCCTTTGTTTGCATTGCCTGGAACTTTCTGTCTCCACGGTCTACTGCCTCCAAGGTCCAAACAGGGACGTGCAGAGGCTGGTTTGTTTCCCTCAGGTGCCCTCATTAGCATGCTGCTGCCAGAGTCCCACAGAGAGCACCAGGCGAGCATCTCTGAGGCTGCTTGACGTGCCTACCATTGCCATGGCGACAGCTTCAGAAGCTGGAACAAGTAGCTGGGGGTGGGGAATGGTGGAGTCCTGGAACAGCTTTGGGGCTGTGAATCTAGTAGTAGCTGCCTTGGTAAATCTGGGGGATGTGATGACCATTCCTGTTCACATCTGGTGTGGCACACTGATGAGCCCCAGCATGGGACAGCTGTTCTGAGGATCTTATATTCCAGCCTCCCTGACGCTATGACAAGACATACTGTCTCTCTTCTGGATGCTTCCATCCTGGGCTACTCCTTCTCAATTTATTTTGTGAATGCATCTTCCTGTTCTCAAGTCACCAGTGTCGGAGCAAACCTCGATACTCCTAAGTCCTGCTGTGGCAGTATGGAGCAGTGGGACTTTGCATTGCCTCAGTGCCAGGCTCCAAGTGTCAAGAAAAGGACTATACTCCTCCACATGATATGTCATTTAAAATGAAAACAGTGCTCAACTACAAAATATGGTTTTGTTTCCTTTGCCATAGTGACTTTATTAACACATGAATTATCAAAGCCAGCTGGGCCCTGGTTCTATTCTCACCCTGCTCACCTATAGCTCTCCTGCTCCATATGGGTACGAGAATCCTCTGTGACCTCCCTTGGTAATATCCCTGGCAGGTAAGAGCCCTGGTTGTACATGGAGAATGACTGAAAAATCCAATGGTGTGAAGAGTGCTACAGCCAATAACCATCATGAACCCCCTGCCATCAAGGCCAATGGCAAAGATGACTGCAGGACCAGTAGCAGGTGAGTCTGCTGAGGCTGGGTGATTTCACAGATGGTCCAGAGGTTGCTACTCCCCATCATGCCTGCACCATTGTTGTAGGGCAAGCTATCTTTGGCTTTAAGATTCCTTTTCAAGGGAACATAGGAGTTCCAGGCATGTCCTAGGAGGCAAGACAAGTCACACACCCAGAGAACCCTGGGTCAACTCTGTTGCTTTCTCTACAGGCCACAGTCTGCGGCTGATGATGATACCTCCTCTGAATTGCAGAGGCTGGCGGAGATGGACACCCCACGACGGGGAAGGGGTGGCTTCCGAAGGTGATTCCCCCCACCCTAACCTGCTGTTCCCCCTTCTGTCCATGGGGCTTGTCAGGGTGACTACAGTGGCTCTCCTTCTCTTAACTCCTCTAAGCCTTCTATCAGACACTAGAGACCTGAGCAACAACACCAAAGCTCCTGTGAGACAAGATGGGAGAGGCCAGAGGAGGCCTCCCTTCACACTTCACAGTCTGAACTTTGTGGGGAGGTATCTCTCACTGCAGAGGGGCCTTGGTAGAGGGCCCTGAGGTCACCACCCCAGACCAGTAGGCTCTATAGGGAAATCAGGAAGCCTGAGGCAACCTCCATCCTGACTTGTCCTGACATTAACACAACCTCCATTTTGCATTGAAGACCTGTTTTTTGTTCTGCACAATCAAATGAGATGGCACCTTCTATTGGAAATCTTCCTAGGCACCCCTCCCCACAAGATGTATTTGAATCATGCCTGAGTCCCAGACCCTTCCCTCAATGCTGGCCTATGTCCCAGTTCTTAGCACACAGGAAATCATGGCCTGGTCTGTTTCCAGGTTTCCCTCTTCATCTCCCATGTTCCCCCGACTTTCCCCCTGCTGAAACAGTGAGCTCTCAGGTTCATGCTCTCTCTCCCTCACCTCTAGGATCGTCCGCCTGGTGGGGGTCATCAGAGATTGGGCCAACAGGAATTTCAGGGAGGAGGAAGCAAGGCCTGATTCATTCCTCGAGCGCTTCCGTGGGCCTGAACTCCAGACCGTGACGACACAGCAGGGGGATGGCAAAGGCGACAAAGACGGCGAGGGAAAGGGCACCAAGTACAAGTGTCCAGCCTGTGGGGCTCAAAGGGCTCCCAAGCACACAATTGCAGAAATCAGTGTGGTTTCTAATGCCACTGCCAGGGGCAGACCAGGGACTATGTCAAGCTCTGTCATAACAGGGAAAGGGATGGACAGAAATGACCTGCTATGCTTTTAACTCCAGAACATTTCTGTTCTCCCTACCTACAGCCTCTCCAATAGCCAGTGGTCTATTTGCTATGGGAACATCTACTGTCTTTTTTCACCTTAGCTGACCTTCTATCAGATGTCCTCTTGCTGCTCATAAAGTGAATGTGGGCAGGGAGGGGGTTCAGCCAGGGGCATGCCACTTCCAGCCTCACTTCCAGCAGTTGGTAAATGCTGAGGAGGATGCAATCAGAGAGCGCTGCTGAGGGCAGGCCCACTCCAGCTCTATTCTGGGCAAGGAAGTATGTATTGGAAGAAACCATGCAGGAACCTGATGGGGAAGGCTCTGATGGCTGAGTAGGAGAGTGACGGGGTGGAGAAGGCAGAGATGGAGGGTCTACTGTTTGAGGAAGGAGTAGGCCACTGTGGATGTCTGGCCAAGTTAACATTCCCCACCTCTGGTCAGTGAAGGAAAAGGGCTCTTGCCAAAATATGGCACAGCATCTGGAAAAGTGATTTGGAGGCTAGAGGCTGGGGACCAAAAAGAAAGAGTAGAGTGGGCAAGAAGCATGTAGTTCTCACTTGCCTGGAGTTTGTCTCTTTTGCTGGGAGGGATATAGGAACAGTGGGATAAGCTTGCATTACCAACCTGTGGTTATCCCTCCCCAGACCCTGATGCTCTTCTCTACCCAAAACTCTGCCCCTTGATGTACCTTCTGGGCAAGGGGCTACCAGAGAGCTTCAGAGCCAATGGGCCACTCTACCCTGAAAAATGGGGCCCCAAGCCAATTTACCCCTCATCCACACATTCCCTTAAGCAGTGATTCTTGGGGGTCCCTAAGCTTCCAGAACATGTAGTGCTGTCTCCTTGGGGGAGCTGGTCCTCAAGCCTGGCCTTTGTTTGTTTCCTTAGAAAGAAATTTGAACTATTTGTCTTGGACCCAGCTGGGGACTGGTATTACCGCTGGCTCTTTGTCATTGCCATGCCTGTCCTGTACAACTGGTGCCTGCTGGTGGCCAGGTGAGTAGGGAGGGGTCTGGAAGAGGGTAGCCAAAAGTAGAGCAATCCATAGGCCCTGGGATTGAGAGCACATAGGTCCCAGCCAGTCCCAGCTTAAGACAGTGTTCATACCAAGCCAACCTTCCTTCCAGATTCTCTGGCTGCCCAAAACACCTCTATCTACCTTGATAGCCCATGTTCCCTTCAGAGGGAGTCTTAAAGGTGTTAGCCCCACTTTCTTCTCTTCCTGGGACACCTGCAGCAGCCATATCTATTTCTTGTATCTACCACACTTGTAACTAATGTGATTCTTAGAAACTGGGATTTGGTGATACTACTCCCTCCTCAAAAAACATTTCAATTCCCTATTGCCCACAGGACAAAGTTCAAGCCCTAAGAATGGCCTTCAAAGCCTTTTGAATGTGGCCTGACAGCATTCCTTACTCCTTTCTGCTCCCACTTCAGTCATTCAGAAAGGGTTTGACTGAGCACTTATTGGGTGCCATGCTCTGGGCTCAATGATGGGGATAATGTGGAGAGCAAGACAGGCATGGTATCTCTCCCTTGGAACTCTTAGGCTACTGGAGGACAGAAATTGCCAACATGAAATAAAAAAAAATGACCAAGATGATTCCAGGAACTGATGGCAGAAAGTTGCTAGAGATCGAACAGTCAGGGTGGGCCTCTCTGGGAAGGTGAGACTATACCTGAGCCCTCATTAGTGGGAGGCAATCAGCTGTTTAGATACTATTCTTGGCAGAGAGAACATTGTGGGCAGAAGGAATAAGTGCAAAGCGTTAGGATGGCCCAGTGTGGATGAAAGCCATGACAATGGCAGGCACTGATGGTTCTGCAGGCTTTGTGAAATAGGGGCTGGAATTTGATTCTAAATGTTACCATTCCTAGTACACTCTTGGGATCACCATCCTGGACTCTATCCCCTAATTTTCCCTATCCCCAGGCCCTTTCCTAGGCCTGGCCCCATCCATAATTTACCCTACAGAGCTCCTGCAGCTTCCAACTTTTCTCCAATCATACTTCTTCTAGCCTAACCCTAGCTCACTTGGGCTTACCGATACTTGGCTGGCCAGTGTTCTGTGTTGGGTGCTCAGTAGGTGTATGTTGAAGTGATGAAGATGGAATCTATTCCACTGTGTGCTGTGATTTGCTCTTCCAATGACATATTCATTCATTCCACTGACACCATTCAACTGATACTTGAATTCAGGTGCCCCAGGCTAAGCATAGGACTGGCAGTGATGATGGAGGAAGTCTCTGCCCTCCTGAAGCTCACAGTCTAATGTGTGAGGTAGGCAATTAATGGTCAGTAGTGATGCACACACAGTGATGTCTACATAATGATAAGGATTGGGGTAGAAGTCACTTGCCAGTGTCTCCTTGGCACCAGGCTAACTGTAACTTATCAGTGCCCCTTGTAGCCCTCTCAAGCCTTGAACAAATAGAAATTCAGCTTGGGGCTTCCAGGAGACCTCAACTGGCTTTGAGGGTGAAGCCAGCCTTGTTCTTTCACAGAGCCTGCTTCAGTGACCTACAGAGAGGTTACTTCCTGGTGTGGCTGGTGCTGGACTACTTCTCAGATCTGGTTTACATTGCAGACCTTTTCATCCGATTACGCACAGGTGAGTAAGCATCTGGGAAGCACAGGTGGCAGTATGACACCTAAGTCCAAAGGCCTGAGTCCAAATTTTGAAGAAATCTACTAGACATGGTGTTGGACTCAAATGCTTGGCTGGAACCCTGGTTGGTGATTGATCAGGGGTGCTTTCTTGGGTCTTTCTGGACAGCCTACCATGTGAGCTATATCTCTCCTTGGGATGAAGGGATAAATGACTAGTTTGCTTATCATTATCCTATAAGGAGGAACAGATCTGAGGGAAGAGGTGACATACTGGCTTGTACGTCTGTTAGGTTTCCTAGAGCAGGGGCTGCTGGTCAAAGATACCAAGAAACTGCGAGACAACTACATCCACACCCTGCAATTCAAGCTGGATGTGGCTTCCATCATCCCCACAGACCTCATCTATTTTGCTGTGGGCATCCATAGTCCTGAGGTGCGCTTCAACCGCCTACTGCACTTTGCCCGTATGTTTGAGTTCTTTGATCGCACTGAGACTCGCACCAGCTACCCCAACATCTTTCGTATCAGCAACCTGGTGCTCTACATTTTGGTCATCATCCACTGGAATGCTTGCATCTACTATGCCATCTCCAAGTCCATTGGCTTTGGGGTTGACACCTGGGTCTACCCCAATATCACTGACCCTGAATATGGCTACCTGGCTAGGGAATACATCTACTGTCTTTACTGGTCTACACTGACCCTCACCACCATTGGGGAGACACCTCCCCCTGTAAAGGATGAGGAGTACTTATTTGTCATCTTTGACTTCCTGATTGGTGTCCTCATCTTCGCCACCATCGTGGGAAATGTGGGCTCCATGATCTCCAACATGAATGCCACCAGGGCAGAGTTCCAGGCCAAGATTGATGCTGTCAAACACTACATGCAGTTCCGCAAGGTCAGCAAGGAGATGGAAGCCAAGGTCATTAAGTGGTTTGACTACCTGTGGACCAATAAGAAGTCAGTGGATGAACGGGAAGTTCTCAAGAATCTGCCAGCTAAGCTCAGGGCTGAGATAGCCATCAATGTCCACCTTTCCACACTCAAGAAAGTGCGCATCTTCCAGGATTGTGAGGCTGGCCTGCTGGTAGAGCTGGTACTGAAGCTTCGCCCTCAGGTCTTCAGCCCCGGGGATTACATTTGCCGTAAAGGGGATATTGGCAAGGAGATGTACATCATCAAGGAGGGCAAGTTAGCGGTGGTGGCTGATGATGGTGTGACTCAGTATGCTCTACTATCTGCTGGGAGCTGCTTTGGAGAGATCAGTATCCTTAACATTAAGGGCAGCAAAATGGGCAATCGGCGCACTGCCAATATCCGCAGCCTGGGCTACTCAGATCTCTTTTGCTTGTCCAAGGATGATCTCATGGAAGCTGTGACTGAGTACCCTGATGCCAAGAAGGTTTTGGAGGAGAGAGGTCGGGAGATCCTGATGAAGGAGGGGCTGCTGGATGAGAATGAGGTGGCAGCCAGCATGGAGATGGATGTGCAGGAAAAGCTAGAGCAACTGGAGACCAACATGGAGACCTTGTATACTCGCTTTGCCCGCCTGCTGGCTGAGTACACGGGGGCCCAGCAGAAGCTCAAGCAGCGCATCACAGTTCTGGAGACCAAGATGAAACAAAATGAGGAGGATTACCTGTCAGATGGCGTGACCAGCCCAGAGCCAGCTACTGCTGAGGAGCCATGAGGGTGCGAGCCCAATGGCCTTTGCAGCCTTCCTTGCCTTGACCCCAGGAGCTAGAAGAGCTGTCTAGATTTCCAGATTCATATGCATTACATCTCTTGCCCTCTGAATTCTCCCCAAAGCTTCTTCTAAGCTCATGATTTTGGTCTAAACATCCAGGGGTACCCCTCTGAGTGTAGCTAACAGTCAAGCTTGTGGACAGTAGAGACCATGTTGGCTGCATTTCCAGGAGCTTCAGCCTGCCCAAGTATGAGGAAAGAAGAGAGCAGCAGCTGAACTGTCCTTTAGGAGTCTGTCCTGGGACTGGAGGTGTGGACAATGATCTGCTCTGAAGAAGCCCATCTGAAGAATGGCATGCTCTCTGCTGCTCTCTTACCCCTCTCTAGCTCATTTGTATGCAGCCACTCTGCTCTGTTGATTAGCCTGTCTCTCTGCCAGCCAAGAGTGGCATCTCTGAAGTCCTCTCTGGACCAGGAGATGATGATGCTTCTGGTTTCTGGTCCATTCCAGGAAAGGGGGTGAGGAGTGAGGCAACTGACAATCATCCAGTGGGCAATGCCACCTGGAGAAGGAGGTGGCTGGCAGCTCTAGTCATCACCCTCTATGGAGAGCATTTCAAAAGAAGACTTGAAGGCTGGTGGTGGGAGGGATACTCTAGTTCATATGTGCTTTAGCAGCACTTAAAGTTAATAAATTCCTTTCAACTACTTTTGGTTATTGCTCAGCTCTTTTCTCCACATTCTTTTCCTGTTCTTCCCTTTTATTCACATTTCTTTGCTGCTGTCCAGACTCCTTCTGCCTGGCATGCCCACTGAAATCCTCCCCTGCCTATAACCCCTACTTGTCTTTTAGGACTTAAGCTGGGTACCAGCTCTCTGGAGAACCCCCTTGCCTGTACCCACTCCCCTGCCAGCCTCTGTGATTGGTTTTAATGGATGTGGTTTCCCCTCCAGACTGTGGGCCCTTTGAGGGCAAGGCCAAGACAGTCTCCCTCACTGCTGCCTGCAGCCTCGATGATGTGCCTGGCATAGAGTAGAGGTTCTGAGATGTTTCTTCACTGGAGTAGTGAGCAAACAGAGTGAGTGGGAATGAACGAATGAGCACAACTAACCCAAATTACTCTGCTTCCTTCTGCCAGCACCTGTATTTTGAGTGAAACATGGTTTTATCTGGGGAGCTGGGGAGGATCTTCTGGAGGAGCAGGTATTTGATCTGGTATTACTAGATTTCTGCAGTCTGAGGGACAAATACTAATCAGTGGGCAAGAAGATCTAGCTGTGGACTCTCATGCTTTCATGTCCATACATAACATTCACTCCTTCATTTATTGTGATAAAATGCACATAACTCTAACCATCTTGATGACTTTTATATGTATAATTCAATAGTGTCAAGTAGATTCACATTGTCATGAAATCAATCTCCAAAACTCTTTCAACTTGCAAACTAAAACTTTGTACCCATTAAATAACTCCTTTCTCCTCCCTGTCCCAGCTCCTGGTATTCACCATTCTACTATCTGACTATTAATTTAATCACTCTAGTAACCTCATATATGTGCAATCATACAGTATTTGTCCTTGGTGTCTGGCCTATTTCATTTAGCATAAGGTCTTCAAGATTCATCTATGTTGTAATGTATCTCAGAATTCCTTCCTTTTTTTAAAAGTGAATATTATTTCACTGTACAAATATGTCATTTGTTTATTCATTCACATGTTGATAATCACTTGGGTTGTTTTCACCCTTTGGCTATTTGAATACTCTTGCTATGAACATGGGTGTACAAATATTTCTTTGAGACCTCATTTTTACTTTTTTGTATATTAACCCAGAAGTGTAGTTACTGGATCATATGATAATTTTATTAATAATTTTTTGAGGGACTTCCGTGCCATTTTCCACAGCGGCTGCACCATTTTACATTCCCATCAACAGCATACACTTTCTTCCAATTTCTCCATATCTTCACCAACACTTCTTATTTTCTTTTTCTGGACAGTAGTCATAATCTGTACGAGACTATGTCTTAATTGTGGTTTTGAGTGGAATTTCTCTAATGAGTTCTGATTTTTGAGAGTATTTCACATGCCTGGTCATTTGTATGTTTTCTTTGAAGAAATGTCTATTCAAGTTCTTTGGTCATTTTTAATTGAGTTGTCAAGTTGTAGGAGTTCTTAATACGTTATAGATATTAACCTTTTATCAGATAAGATTTGAAAATATTCCCCCTTTCTATTGGCTGTCTTTCACTCTGTTGATTGTGTTCTTTGATGCATAGAAATTTCTAATTTTGTTGCAGCCCAATTTGTCTAGTTTTTTTCTTGTTTCTTGGGCTTTTGGTGTCACTACTCATTTTTATGTGAATTAATTCTTCTAGTGAGACTTTGAAATTTAACAGAATTTCTTGGCCTCTTTCCTAGCTTACAATAATAAGTCTTACCAGGGGAAACCTCACCTGGAAGGATCTGTAACATTACCCAGGTCCAGGTCCTGATACCTGAGGGTGACAACAACAGGAAAATGGTATTTATGATAGGACAGTGCTGTGTGATATCTTTTGGGTATTGGGATGGAAGAAAAGACTCCTAAGCCCCTCCACCTCAAGAGAGGCCCAGCCAATAGAAGAACTCCTTGGAGACCCAGCCAGCTGCTTGCCAAGGTACTTGTTGCTAGGGTTCACTAAGAAGTTCAGTTTTCACCAATTGTTGGAACCTGGACAAGATGCTATTTTTGCAGGAATAGGATGGCACTAGGGCCAGAAAATTGAAAACGTTTGCCTTAGTTTTAGCAAGAAACCTGTAATATTTCTCCCTGGAGCCTGGTTCACCTACAGCCCAGTCCCAATAGATGTTCACCTCCAGCCCACATCATGGAGTGGATATTGAATCTTGAATCTGGTCTTTGCTGGTATCCCTATAGCAAAGCAGGTGGCCCCTCTGGGTCACATGGGGACCCCACTAATTCAATGCATGTACTATAGGGTTTGGCTCTCCTCCCCCCACAAGATTCCCTTTCCCCAGCATTCCTGGGCACAATCTCCCACAACTTTTTGTTGTACCTTGAATGTCCGTTTTCTCTTAAGTTTGTGCGAGAGAGTCTGTGTGTTGTGTGTGTGTATGTGTGTGTGTGTGTGTGTGTGTGTGTGGTGCATGGTTGTATGCCTGAGTGTGGTGTTTGTTCATCTGTGTGAACATGATGTGATTGTACATGTGAGCACCTGTGCGTCAGCCTAGACAGTGTCTGTTTCTGACCAACCCCCACCCACCCCCTCCCTGTTGTTCTCTCTGCAAGAGCATGACTCTCTCCTGTCTGTGGCTGGCCGACGCCCCCGCCTCTCTCCTGTAACTGCTGTAATATAAGAAGTGAAGTACATTTTCCATTATGTGCTGTATTTATTCAGCACAGCCTGATGTTCTCTGCTCTTAATTAAAAAAATGTTTAAATTGGAATGTTTTTTATTTTCCTCTGAAAATACCCACCAAAGGTAAATTGTCCTATTTGTATATGGTCATCAAATTGCTTTTCTCTGCATTTGTAACCTTCTGTACAAAACAAAAGCCCTGGTTCCCGTCCACCACACCCCCATCCCAGCATAGCTTGAGTCCAATCCTTAGCAATATTTATATATTCTTTGATCTGGAGCTTAAAGCTAGTCTGACCACTCCCTCCCTCCTTTGGAGGGCGACCAAGGCATGTATACCCCTCCCCCCTCCATATCCTGGAAACAAGTCCTTAAGGCACAAACAAGAAGGAACCCAGCCACCAGAGGGCGCATGGACCTCAGAAAAGTGGGTAGGGTGGATTCTCCTTTGTGAACCGCCCACCACCCATCAAGCAGTGGACTGAGCAGGGCCTGTGGGGGCGGTTAGGTGGCTGTTCCGCAGGGCTTTGTAGAACTGTTGGACCAGTCTCTCTTCTACAATGCACCACTGTAGTTCCTTTGAATTTCCTCAGATTTTCCTGAGTTTGAAGGCCAAATGCCCAGTTGGACCCCCTGTATGCTAGGTACACAGACCCTTCTGGAGGATGAGGAAGCAGAAAATGCCAGAGTGGAATTTAAAGGGGACCTGAACACTATGACTGTGTCAGTACTTATTTTAACATATATTTTGAAAATAAATACTAGTCTTTCTGAAAACTCTTGATTGGTATGGATAGTATTGCTTAGCATTAAGCTTAAGAAAAAAAGTCAACCTATTTAAGATTGATTTAAAGAAAATGATGATGTAAATAATTGTTCCAATGGTGCATGAAAGTAGCACCCAATGGTAGTGTGTTTCCAAATGTCTATTCCACACCACAGTGGTATTTCCAACTTAACATCAACCTAACTCATCTCTTAATTACTCCTCTCCCCAACATCTTCTTCATGTTGGTAATGGCACAAAATTCCTAGTTACTCAAGCCAAAATCACAGAAGCCTCTTCCCCTTATCTGTCATATCCAATCAGTGAGAAAATATCATATGCTTAACTTTCAAAGTAGGGTCAGAATCCATGGATGAGACACCACCGCCACTGCCCCTGCAGTGGCCCAGGCCACCACTGACTCTTTCCTTGAACAGCTACAGAGTGATAGCCTGGCTCCGGTCTTTGTTCTCCTTTGCAAATCATTCTCCACTTGGCCACCAGAGTGTTGAAAACACAAGAATCATATTCCATCCCTCCTCAGCTTAAAAACTTCTGGTGTTTTTCTATTGTTCTTATGCTAAAATTCAAATTCCTGCCTGTGGTCCCCAGGTCTTGCTCAATGGCAATGGCTTTTCCCTTCACCATGCTTTTCTCCAGCTCCCTTTGATTTCTTGCATACACAGATTTTTCTCTTGTCTTGGCAGCCTCACAGTTGTTGTCCTTTCTATCTTGCTGTGTCTGGCTCCTGGTCTTCAGAACATCCTCTTCATGATATGCTATCTCATCTCCCATTTTGATTCCCCTCATAAGTACTGATCACCCTCCCTAGTCTCAAAGAAAACCTTAGGCTGCATCCCAACCTCACATCAC